TATTGTTCAAACGTTCTCCTGGATACAAAAGCAAACTTTTTCAGGCCATATAATTTTTTTTCGTTCATCTATGATCTAATTTATCGAAATTTCATACTTTAATGTCAAAGTCAAATTTTGTGTTGACCCGTGTAATATGCCAATTTGAACAACTTCCTGCAAAAAAAACTTTATATAAAATCTTGCTGCCCAGACATACTAAAAAATCGTAATTTTCCTAGGCTATGAAGGTTATTGTCGTTTATTTAAAATGCAAATATATATAATTTTTTCCATAATTTGACATAATATATTCTATAGTTATTCTGTATATGTCATAGATAAATAGTTATTTTACAAAAATAGTTTTTGATTAGACAAATGTTATTTGCCTGGTCAAATGACTTTTACCCATTTATTTTTGTTTAAACGTTATTTTCCTAGGCAAATGCTATTTAACCGAACCACTGTTAAGCAAATGGTATTCAATGAAGTAACATATTGCCTCCACGCATACATTTTACAACACAAATAATATGTTCCATATGGGTTTACAACTTTTTACGCGAAGCGAGGTCCAGCCCAAGAGATGGTTTGGGTTATTTAAAGAAAACATAAAGAGAAAATTTTTGCAATAATAGTTATCATGAACTGTCGCTCGGTTTTAAATTTGTTATTAATTGTATGTATAAATTTGATTTTTTTATATAATATGTATTATGTATTAGGAGGTGCACTTAGGTACAGTTTTTGCCGCTCACAAGTAGATGGCTCCAGCTGCAAAAGTAGTGAGCTTTGGCGGCTAACTTAATTCAACTAGTTGATTGTCTTTTGAGACATCTATCAATAAAATTAATGTGCAAACGTTTATTGTTGTGAAAGCAGTCATATTTTTGAATCAATTTAAAATGAATCCTAATAAGTGGTTTTTTCGATATGTACTACTTCGCTACTTTGATTTGAAGAAAACTGCAGGTGAAGCGCATCGATTGCTTTCTGAAACTTATGATGAACAAGCTCCATCAGAAAGAACATGTAAAAACTAATTTAAACGATTTAAAAATGGTGATACTAGTGTGGAAAACAAAGAACGTTCAGGACAGCCAAAAAAGTTTGAGGATGCTGAATTGCAAGCATTATTGGATGAAAATTCAACTCAAACACTCAAAGAATTATAAAAAGTGTTAAGTGTTAAATGTTGCTCCTATGGCTGCTTCCAAACGTTCACACGTCATGGGAAAAATCCAAAAGAAAGAAAATGGCTATCGTATAAGTTGTCCAAAAAGCATCTTGAATTGTTTGACTATCGCGACTTCCTTATTTGCTAGACAGAATCCCAAGTTAGGTCAAATCCTAGTTGAGGTAATATTTTTCGCAATAAGTTTTTTTCAGTATTTTAAGATGCTTATAAGACCTATGTGAACCTAGAACCCGATTTTACAAAAATTAAAAAATCATAACATAGTTCGATTGTACTTTGTTTGTACCTCAAAGGGTAAACAAATACAAAGTGGTTAAAAAATAACCAGAACCCCACTTTCAGATATTTTAATTTCATTAACGGCATTTGAAAGAGAATCGTTTGTACCCGTTTGTACCTCCTTAGTTT